GTTTTCGAATAATTAATACTGACAATCGAGGGGGGGGGGGGACGGGGAGTTATCCGGATCGATTTTTCGCATCGCGGAGCAAAGCGTTCGATCCCTCAAACGAGAACTGTTTCCCCATCCTCCCGAAGAGGATTTGCCACCCGTTAACCGACCCGTCGGTCAGAACCCCCGTCCCCCCCCCCCCTCTCTCTCTCTCTCTCTCGCGCGCGCGCGCGCGCGCATCCCTTCCTCTTGGAGCCGCTTACGCCCTCGTCCTTTCTGAAGGACTCGGTGTGTCCTCTCCCTCTCTCTTCCCTTAATCCTCAACCGCACTAGGGCGCGCCTTTGTCAAAAGTGGCGCGGAGGGTGGCGTTCAAGGCCTCGTTCGTATTGTTATTTGTTTACGACGTTATCCGGAATATACGTCTCTATTCTTTCCCCTCCCCTCGACGAGATCTCGCTCGCTTATCCGCGAGACAAAGGACGCGTTATACCGCCCCCCCCCCCGTCTTTCTCAGCCTGGAATTGCTGAAAAACTCGTTTCGCGCTTCCGCAATTCTCGCGGCGGACGCAAGTGAGAGCCGAGCCCGAGCCGATCCGAATTCGCCGATCGGGAATTCGCCGCGAAACCGACTCTCCTCGTGGCTCCGAGTCCAGGAAACGGCGTTTAATACAATTTCGGCCTGAGGCGGCCGCCGCGCGCGCACGCTCTTTCCTGCGGAGGGTGGCGGAAAGAGAGAGAAAGAGAGAAACACACAGAGGGAGCAAGAGAGAGAGAGAGAGAGAACGAGAAAGGGCGAGAGAACGGGTAGGGAGGTGGAGCCTTGGGTGCGCGGCGATGAACGGGACGGAGGGAGATGGTATCGTCGTTCTCTGGCACGACACGAGGTCGCGGAGACGGCCGAGCGCGGCCGAGCGCGGCCGAGGCGTGCGCGGCGCGGCGGTGGTGGGGAGTGGCGGCCGTTCAGTAGCTCCGGCTTCCCTCAGTCGAGCCAGCGCCGTGGGTCGGAGTCGTACTCGTGAATCCGCGGAGAGTACCTCGAGAAAGAGCGATAGAGAGCGAGAGCGGCCAAGCGGCAGCGGGACAAGAGAGAAGAGGAGGCGCTCGATACGCACGCACAGTTGCATACGACGGGGCGAGGAGACGCGACAGCGCGGCGAGGAACGGCGAGATAAACGAGAACGAGAGATCGAAACGCAAGTTGGCGATTGGCGGAGCCAGAGAGGTAGAGAGAGAGAGAGAGAGAGAGAGAGAAAGAAAGAGAGAGAGAGCGAAGCTCTTTTCCGCCATCTCGCTCTCTTCTCCGCCACGGATTGATCCCACGAGCGTCGTCAGGGTCCGTGTGCATCGCCGGAGCATCGACGCCACCACGATCGCAACGGCGATCGTCGCGCCCGTCTCCGACAAGTCTCTCGCCGCCGTTCTCCCCGTCGGCCGTTGTCGTTACTTCCCGGCGGATGGACGCCAGGAAAAATGCGGTGATGACAGTGACCGGATACCGAGGAGGGGAAGGACTTCGGAACAATTCTCCGGCAGCAAGCGGGTAATTATCGTTGTCGAGCGTGTTACGCGAGAGCCGCCGTGCTTCGTGGTCGATCGAGTCGGCGCCGGGTGAGACGAGGGTTAGAGGGAAAGAGAGAGAGAGAGAGAGAGAGCGAGCGAGCGAGCGAGAGAAAGAAATATAAAGAGCGAGAGAGAGAGAAAGCGAGAAAGAGAGTTAGAAACAGAGAGGGCGGAAGGGTACTCTCTACGCGACTCAGCCGGAAGTTATGACGAGCTCGCGCTTCGTTCAAGGACGACGAATTGTTCGCGCGCATGTGTCCAGTAGTGGGATATAGTGTCAACGACAAGTCGCCGCTCGCAGATCTGGATACCTTGCTGTCGACACCCGCCGGGCCCGGATTGTCTCATGTCAGGATGGCGCTGGCGCGGTACGTACAATCGTACGGCTCGCCGTTGTCGGAGCTAGGGTGGGTCTTCGTCCGTCCGTCCGTCCGTCCGTCCGTTCGTCCGGGGCTAAACCGGTGTGGGGGGACCAAGCGGGGGGGTGGAGGGGAACGGAGGGAACCGGCGGCCCGTGCGTATGACCGGTACGCGAGGAGCGTGCGATCGGAGCATCGATCCGGCGAGCGTGCCGGTGGCGTCGCCGAGCACGCGACGCCGACGACGACGACGGCGCTCCTTCCGCCCCGGGTTTCTCCCCTCCCGCACCTCCCCTGCCCTTTGGCGGCGCGGCATCGCGCGCCGGCTGGTGAATCCGCGCTCGCGATCCCCGGAATCTTGGACGCGCGAGGATGCTTCTCTCTAAGGGGGCGGGTGGGTCGGGGCGGCGGGGGGGGGAGGGAACACGTGTCGAGTTGCGATAGACGCGAGCGAGCAATCTGGGCGAAAATGCGCTCTGGCCGCGTAGGGGCGGGGGAGGGCCGGCCTCTCCGGGAAGGTCGGCGCGGGAGGTCCGAGTCTCTCGCGGAACCCCCGGGATTCCCTCGCGATTCGCGCGCTCCAGGCCTCCGGAGCACGCCCCGACGAAGACGCGCGCGACGGTCAACGACCCGTCGTCCCTTCGACGAGGATAGCGGCCGAGAATCGCGCGAATGGCCATTAGCCTGGCCGTTCGTTCTTTTGTCCGTCCGTCCGTCCGTCCATCCGTCCGCCCGCCCGGTGCTCTCCCCCAATCGTCGCGATTCGCGTTCGCGCTGGCCGATCTGGAAAGTTCTTGGTCAAGTCAAGTCGCGCGAGCGAAGGAGCGCGAATCAAGGTGAATACACCTTTTTACGTTAGACGCCGACCTTCCTGAGGCTGCCCCGATGTGGGCTTCGTCACGGCTCGGCGATTCCGCCTGGCTTTCATATAGACACGTCCGACCGTGAACGCCGAGAGAGCCCCGCGACTCGATGGAATTCGAATGTAGAAACGTTCCCCGGCGTTATCGTGTCCCCCGCCCCCCCCTCGTTTGTTCGCTCGCACGTCTCGGTTTCGCCGACGTCGCTTAACTTCAAGCTTAGTTCAATTCGCTCTTTGTCCCTTTCCAGCTGTTACTTTGGAAACAGACGAGCGTGAATGAAAACTAAGGTCATAGTTAAGCGACATTTGGTGAAACCAGGCGGTAACTTTAAGCTCAGTTTAATTCTTTCGTTGCTCCTTTCCGACTGTTACTTTGGACAGAGACGAACGTGAATGAAACTAAGGTCACAGTTGAGCGACGTTTGGTGAAACCAGGCGTTAACTTCGAGCTTAGCTCAATTCTTTCTGTGCTCCTTTCCAACTGTTACTTTGGGCAGAGACGTACGTGAATGAAACTGAGATTAACGTTAAACGACGTTCGGTGAAACCGGACCCAAGTCCTTCGTTTATTCGTTCGTCGGTCCGCGCTCGCTGCGCGGCGAGAACCCTCGAGCGTCGCCGACCGAAAGCGGAATGTGCTGGCCCGGCCGGGAAACGAGTTCAGCTTCTAAATGTTTAATTGGTATTCGTCGCTTTTATTCGATAATTTTTTTCCCCGCTACTTATTCCTGAAATATGAATATTTATACGCGCTGTGTATTGCCTCTTTATTCGATTAATTTGAAACTGGAGTAAATTTCGAAAAATGCTTGTTGTCGCACGAGACACATATCGGTAAACAATTTACATAACAAACTCAGATTTCTCCTTCGTCTTAAGACATTCGCGCATTTACAATGTATTTCTCGTTGATATGCACGGGAAAAAATGCTGTTGAATTGAACAAAATGAAGTTGCTTGAATGAAACGTTAACGTCACGGGCTGCCACAAAACACAAATAATTCACTCAATTGTATTTGCTATGGATTTTTATTTTAAGCACTGAACTAAATATCCAGATTATTAAGGGCTAGTTTCAACATCGGTTAACTCGTGGAAACCGCTGAGGGCATTGTGGCGTACAGATTTGCGGCATACTAGGCATTTTTGGAGCATTAGGCCTTGCCAGGGCATTATAAAGATAAAATAAGATAAAGTAATGCCCACTGGGCATTACTGGGCATTGGTGTACAAGATTTTGGTCAGCGGTTTCTCCCTCGGGTTAACTGTTGTTAACTCTCTGTCTTTTTCCACCTTATTATTTAAGAAGAGAAGAATTAACCATCGCTTAGCAGTTGACCGATGTTTGCGAAACTGGCCCTAAGACCACAATCTGATGCCTTTCATTTATTAATACTGATGTTGTTTCAACGATTTTTATTTCAATTACACTGATCTCGTTGATGCAACACCGTTCTTTTTCCCGTCTACGTACGGTTGTGGTCAGAAAGGTTGTCCGACGTTTTACAACAAGTCTTCGGAATGTATGTACAATTGCATAGATATTCGTGCATATCATTGCTTTGCTCTAATAATGCGCCACTGCACATATCCGCGAGCACAAGCTACAGTCTCTCGCGTGATAGACTGCATTTCCGAAATTTATCGTGACACGTCGGACAACTTTTCTGACCGCGACTGCATTTGCTCACCGTCCTTATCTAGAAAATCGCCTTATTTCAACCGCGTTTGTTTCAACCGTATGCATTTTTCTTGCCGGAATCAAACATCTCTGAAAAAATTTCAGACAATTGGATTACGATTAATCATCCGAAAAGCCGCGTACGATAAGCTTCGAAAATGTCGAAACGCGATAAATAATGTTTTGCTCGTCCTTTCGCTCGCCGCGCATTCTTCGCCGCGACGTTGATCAACAGCGTCATTGTACGCTCCCTAAACCTGTGAAAGTTTCCTCTGGGAAAGGGAAGATATTTTTGAGACTCGGAGTGCGCCCTCAATACGTCTTCCCGTCGTGACGAGACAAAGAAGCCTTCGCCTGCCATCACATATTCTCGTTATCTAACTCTTATCGAGCCGCCGATACGATTACTCACGACGTTGAAAGTCATAAGGTCTGTTTACCCCGAGAATAAAATACTTGTGTTTTCGTTCACGAATCGCTCCGGAGCGAACACGCAATCGCGTAAATTGCGCCGAGCGTTAAGTCCGTGTTACACTACAGGTTGCGAATTTGGTTGCAATTGGGGTCTGCGATTGTGATTGGCTACGCTCCAATTACACGTGCGAGTGACGATTGGCTAACCCTTAACCGTAATCAAGGCCCTGCGTAAGACTAATATATTACATTTGTCGTACGACCAAGTTTTCAAGCGTATAGATTGCCTGTTGAATGAAAAACTTCTAGATACTCGAGAATTCTACTATTCTGCAGCCAGTCACACACTTGAAAAATTTATCGTACAACAAATGTAATACCAGCCTAATATTACATTATTGTACGACAAATTTTTTAAGCGTGTAGAACATTGCCTGTTGAATGAAAAACTTCTAGATACTCGAGAATTCTACTATCGTGCAGCCAGTCAACACACTTGAAAAATTTGTCGATAAATTTTTAAGCGTGTTAATCGGCTGCTGAATGGAAAATTTCGAGATATTCGCGAATTTTACTATCCTGCAGCCAATCAACACGGTTAAAAAATTTGTCGTACAACAAATATAATACCAGCCGAAAGCTGCGAATACACGAAAAAATGAAGCAGTAAGGTACTGAAGAATTTCAATCGGAATTTTCAGCATTTCTCAAGTTTCACAACAACGCTTACGTTCTCGACTCCCACTGGTCAGTCCCTGTAGGTCTTAAATTTTACTGCTTCATTTTTTTTTGCGCGCGAACGCGTCCACGCGAATTTCTCTCGGCGAGTCTCGACGCCCTTAATCGCACGCCACCGTGTACATACATCGCGGAAATCGTCATTTCCAGTTTCACCAATAGGATGGGTCTCGTTAACCGTTAGTCATTACTTCCTGTTTCTGCACGCTTCCAACAGGCGCGATGTCCAAGACGCGAATCATAGGACTGCGGACGAATAAGCTCTACGAACCCTCCACTATTCTCCACCCCGCGTCCATCGCGATTTCGGGCCTTCGTTTTTAAAACTGCAACGCGCGCCCTTGACACTGCCGCGTCCTTCCCGCGAATGCAAAAATTATTCGCGGCCCTGAGAATTGCCGCAACTATCCCGCTCCCGCGCTTAGTCGGCTATCTCGAAATTTATCAACGCGTTAACCGCCACGGTGGTCACCCGTGACCGGCGTTATTAAAAACTTTTTAACACGTTTGCAAAAAAGAAGGCAAATGCCATTTAATATAAAATTTTGAACCGCGCTGTTAGATGACAATATAAATTAAAAAATGCGCAATTCATCACGCTGTGAGAATGTAGCCTTGTTTAATCATATTGCACGTATATTGTGTATCCTCGCGATAGTGAAAATTCCACCGTGGTGTACACGGTAAGACATATTAAACTTACTCGGGTAGACAACGTGCGTTTAAAATAAACTTCATAAACTTCCCACAGATTCCATTTTGCGAGGTCGCAATAAATGTCGACGACGCGCTTGGAAATGTCGCTTAACTTAGTACCCGGGAACGTAACGCGAATCTGCAATGTCCTATTAAATCCCGGTATAGAATCCGCCCGGACTTAATAGGAAATTTTGCAGCTTTAATTTGATTTCGGTCCGCGCGCGTC